CTTTCTTTCTTCAGAGCAATTTCTGGTTCACAGCAGAACTGAGCAGAAAATACAGAGTTCACACATAGCCCTCCCCACCCACACATACACACTCCCCTACCTTCAACATCCCTCATCAGCGTGGCATATTTGATACAATCGATGAACCAACATGGACACATTATTATCAACCAAAGTCCATAGTTTACATTAGGGTTTGCTCTTAATGTTGTACATTCTATGGGTTTTGACAAATTCATAATGACATGTAGGGAAGGCTCATGTCTTAAACTCTCCCTTCCCTTGGCCATTTAGAGACTCAGTTTTGTCTTACACAACTCTCCCTGCTTACTGAGGTGATCATTCACACATTGAAAGATCTCCAGATATAATCTTTGTCACAGAGAAAAAGGCAGTACCCATGGGAACCAAACTGAGAGGGAAAGGATGGGAAACCCAAGCATGGGTGCAAAGAGTATTGAGATGGGATGAGATAAACTGAAGAACTCTGGGGCCTCTGAGAATCTGTAAGTTATGATGTCGGAGAGCAGTGAGAGACTTCCAAGTTCTAAGCAATGGACTGGAAGTGGGGATGGGGAGGAGACAGTACCTTGGAATTGCTGGAAATATCACATTTGCAGTTTTTCTTGAGTGCCTGTGGTAACTGTCGACCTTCTGTCTGTAGGTTGCATATAATGCTGGTGCCTATTAGGATACAGTGATGTGGGGAAAAAATGGACTGAGAGAGGTCCTTTCACCCAGGTCTACATGCTCTGGGATGCCTGGAGTCTACCAGTGACCTTTCTGAAGGCTGCTTTCACATCTGTGTTTCTCATGCTGTAGATCAGAGGGTTCAGCATGGGGATGACCACGGTGTAGACAACAGACACGACCTTGTTCTCCTCTAGGGATTTGCCTGAACCACTCCGCAGATACATGAAGATGAGGGTCCCAAAGAAAAGGGCCACGGAGGTGAGGTGGGAGGCACATGTGGAGAAAGTTTTGATCCTGCCACCCAAAGAGTTCACCCTCAAAATGGCCCTGATGATAAGGAGGTAGGAAATCAGGATGACCAAAGCATTGGCCAAAATCACAAAGTTGCCAAAGAAGACAATGACAATCTCAGTGTTTGTTGTGTCACTGCAGGCCAGCTTCAGCAGGGGTGGGAGGTCACAGAAGAAGAAGTTGATCTGATTGTCATCACAGAAGGACAGGGAGAAAGTACATGTGGTACGCAGGATGGCCCCTGACACCCCACAGACGTAGGCTCCCACCACTGAAGTCCAGCAGATTCTGGGATTCATGGCCACACTGTAGAGCAGTGGGTTGCTAATAGCGACATAGCGATCATAAGCCATCACTGCCAACAGGAAACACTCTGTACCTGCACAAATGGTGAAGAAAAAGAACTGGGCAGCACACTGGCCATAGGAGATGACTGTCCTGCCTGTGGCCAGTGTGGCCAGGATCTGAGGGGTGATGACTGAGGTGTAGCAGGCATCTAGCAGGGAGAGGTGGCTCAGAAAGAAGTACATTGGGGTGTGGAGTTGGGTATCCACTTGGATCAGAATGATCATCCCCACATTTCCCAGAAGGGTCACTAGATAGAAGCTCAGAAACACCAGGAAGAGGGGAATCTCCAACGTAGGACAGTCAGAAAAACCCATGAGGATGAACTCAGTGACGATGGTGAGGTTGTTCTTGGCCATGGAGTCAACATAGACTATTGATCTGAGGCTGAGAATGAAATAAATAAAGAAGTCCCAGAACTGATGGGCAGTTCTTTACTCTCTGCAGCGGGAAGTTAGGTTTATTTTTCTGGGCCAATCAACGCACAGAGCTTGTCTGTGAGAAATCCTGTACCTGGCTGATCCTCCTCGCGTATCCATGTTCTCCCGCATTTCTGGGCATTGAGCTGTGAGCTGGTGTTTCTAATTCAGATTAACTCTGGTTTATACCTGGAAATTTCCATGCCAATAAGAGACACATAGACTGTGAGATTTGAAAATAATGTAGGCAGCATCCGTTCTACTCCACACTGGGTACTGGAGTCCCTTCTACTGCCCACCCTCCACGGGCTTGTCGGTTGCTGTGTGAGCTTCCATCTGCGGACAGCTCTACCTGTTAATTCTCTTTTTGGATCTGAAGTCTCTTTCTTTACCTTCCATACATTGACTTCAGTTTCACCCCTTCCAGACACAACAATTCTAATCCCTTCTTCTCATGAAGGCATTTCAGAAGTTGGAAGATGACACATTTGCTCTTTATGTGGACCATTTCCTCATATTACCCACTGATGAATATTTTCCTTTTTGGATAATTCAGTGTGTGGTCAAATATTGCTTGGTCTGATGGTATTAAAAGATGTTGCAAAGGGTACAGAATAGCAACTAGTAGATAAATAAGTTCTGGGGATCTAGGGCACAGTAGAGTGATTCTAGTTGGAATACTGTGTTATGAAATTCAGAGTTGCTCAGAGACCAGCTCTTGGTTATTCTCACCACAAAGAAGGCATGACAGTTATGGGACATGATGGAAGTGTTAGCTTGAGCTATGGTGACAAATCATATTGCAATATATAAATGTATCAAGCTAACACATTGTACAAGTTAAACTTACACACTGTTGTAGGTCAATCATATCTCAATAATAATTTAAAAGGATAACTAAAAGTCTTTCTCTCCACTTTAATCTTGGGTTGGGGGTCTCCTCCAGCTCTAATCAGGGGTCCCTTGTGGGAAGGAAGCACTGACATATCATATAAAACATAGCCTCCTTGGGCTGTTCCCTCCACTCCACTCCAGCAGCCTGCTCTGGGGATGAGTTACGTTCTTTGGAAGGCCCACTTGGGATGGTCAAGATCGTGTCTACCATCTCCAGGACAGACACTAACTAGCTGAATAATCTTCAGAAGTTCACTTCCCCACGCAGGGCTTTGCTTTCTGTCCTGAAAAATGGTGGGGCTAGATTATATGATTGTTAAAAGTTCTTTTGCTCTCACAATCCATAATTTGTACATCTGGGTATATGGGATAAATAAGGCTGAAAGAATTTTCCTGATTTCTGTGCTATGTAACGTGTCTCCTCCTTTGCTACTATGTAAAAATATGCAGGCACTATTTCAAGGGATTTATAGTAACTTAAACATAATGTTATGAAATCTTGAGTCCAAAATTGAGTGAATCATATTCTTCAGTTCCTGATAAACTATCACTGAACTTTCTCATATTATTTTATGATTTTCCCTCCTTCTCCCTCCACCCCTAATCCTTCCCCAGCTCCTCACAGGGACCCACTCTAGTGTATGTGAAATGTTTATATTTATTTAGAAACATGTATACCTTTAAAAAATACCATGATTTTCATGTGTTTTAAAATTTACATACATGATTTTTTGTGTCTTTTCCCACATTCGCTATATTTTTGTGATTTATCCGTATTAGGTAGGTAAATCTAGTTTGTTATTTCTGATTTTGTTATGGTCTTCTTGTTTGCTTACAGCCCACCTACTCACTCTTTCCACTGAACATTTTTGGGTTGTGCATATGTTGTCTTATTTAATTCTGGAAGTAGTCAAGGCTGGTTATCTTAATTTTTCCCTGATGAGGAATTTGAACTTCTGGGAGATTGTCTAAGGTCACCCAGTTTAATAAGTGGAAGATCTGGATTTTGAGCAATAATAGTTTGATGGCAAATTCTGTGCTCTTTGCTATGAATTTGTTTTGCTGCCTTCCTACATTTCACTGCATCTTTAAGGTGTATGGAATCAAAGAACCCTCCATGCAGTTCTTTGGATAGTCCGATCTTTCCTACTTCCACATGATGAGAAAACTTGGCTAATTTCAACATCATTTTCTCAACCTCGAATTCTGAAACTGTCACAGTTCGTTTTCTGTCCATCACAGATCCCAGGGTTCCCTCTGATTTTGGGACAAGATTGTTGAATGCACACGACCAGAGATTAGGTGGCAGATCATCTGGGTACAGATGCAGTCACACTGGGTTTGTTCCACAGGCAAGGCCCAACCCATACAGTAGCCCTCATCCTTCCAGCAGCCCCCCAAGTTGGGAACAGCCATGACTATTTTATGGAAGAGAAAAGGGAAGTTCAGAGATGTTAAGGAGGATGCCCAGCTTTGTCAAGTTGTGTGTCCACACCTAGGAAGAATCAGAGTCAACATCTGAATCTGAGACTTTCTAACTCCAAATTCGGGGCTCTCTCCACCCCATCATGATTTCCTCTTAGGGGAACAGAATTACCTTTTCTTCAGATCCAAGTCTCAACTTTTAAGTCTTGGCACCTCTAAGACTATGAGGCAAATACTCAGCTCCCCGGGGAGAAGATTTCGTTTTTGGTGGTCCATGCCTTTTCTTCTTCTTCCTTCTTTGTGAGTTAAGATAGACTTGGTTGGGCCATGTCCCTCCTTTAGTACATTCTTGGGAAAATTGCTTAACCAATTACAGTCTTAACTTTCTCAATAACAAAATGAGAACACAAAGGTAATTTTTGAAAACTTAGAATGGATTTTTACTTAACGTGATAGAGTTTGCTTATTTTCCAGAAAGGCAATTTCCAGAATATTTCCCAGAAGGAAGCATTTTTAGGACCAGGCTGTTGACACCCAGTTTTGTATGAGACTATGTAAGATGGGGCTTGGAGTACCAGCAGCTTGCGTTGGGCCCAGAGTGGAGGGCAGCTACCACTTCCCTGAGCCCAGAACAGCTTACAAGAGGGAAAGCCAAGGTTTGTGGCCAGTAGACGTTGTAAGAAAGCTTCGGCACGCTATTGGTTGACTTTATGACTTGTAGTATGTTTTGATTATAATATGTAATGTAGAATAATATGAGATCTCTGAAGGGAGTGGAGAAAGAGTGACAGTCTTGGCCAGGAGGAACCCTTTAGAGAAGAGATGACTCTTTGTACTTACTTCAACTTGGAACCTTCTCCCAGACTCCTTTTTCTTTCAAGGCTTGCGTCTCTTGGGGAGAATGAAGGAAATTAACAAAGTTAACCCTCCTCAATCCTGTCAATGGCCTGAAATCCATTGACAATCCCTTATGGGGTTGCTGTCTCCAAATATTATTGTCAACATTTACTGAGCTCTTGTCCTGAGTCAGGTACCATGCTAAGCACTGTAAAGGCTTTCTTTCATTTTTTACCTGACAACAACGTTAGGAGAGAGGAATATTTATCTTTGTTTTACAGATGAGGAAACTGAGGCTTAGAAACTTTAAGTATTGTGCTTGAGGTGTCAGAGTCAGAAAGAAAAGCTGTTTAGATCTTAACCCTGGTTGCCCTGATCCCAGAGTTGGGGTATTGAACAGCTATGCTATGTGCCTTTCTTAATACTGGTAGCTATTTACTGAGCATCTTCTCTGTGCCAACCAGGGTGTTAAACATTCTATATATAGTATCTCACAGAATCCTCTCAGTGACCCTGTGACAGAGGTATGATTTTGTTCCGGAGGGAACTAAGACTCAGAATAGTTAAGTAACTTGTTCAAGGTCACATGACTAGTCAGTGAAAAAGCCCAGATTCGAACTCAAGTCTGTCTTGTTTCAAAGCCAAAGCTCCAGTACACATGATTAATCCCACCCACAGCATAATTACAGGAAGTAGAGTAATTTACAGTGAATTCTCTGAACTATGCCGTGTAGTACCCTGCCCCCTGCCTCATAAAACTGTATTTTCTAAAATTTACCTACTGATACATCCATAAGCATGAAAAAATTGCCACTGTAGGTTTCTTAAAAAACAAAACCAAACCAAACCCAGTCTTACTTGTGTATTTCATACAGGAGCTGAAACCCCAGTCTGGACACGATCCCATTGGGTGACAAGTTCCGATGACAGTGGCCAGGATCTCTGCCCGGTTTTGCCTTCCCTAGTTTGTGTGGACCTTACTTCTGAGCCGGTATCTTACTAACCTCATCAAGGTCACAGTTACATCCTACTTACCTGGTGGAATAATTCAGTTGGATTCATTTTAGGTTTGGAATCAAACTAATTGGAGGTCATTTAAGCATTTGGTAGAAAGCAGCTTAGACAACTAAAATAGATGTACACAGCTGACAGTTTTAGCTTTCTTCTTATTTAGCAAACCAGTGGGTTATTTAAAATACTTCTGGGAATGGTTTTGTGGGAAGGATGCAGTAAACACAAAAGTTGTCTCTGAATCATGAATCAGCACCTGGGACAGCCCTC